CATCCCAGAATCTCCACATAGTCTATAGTATCTGCAAGAAAGCCAAACTCTCACTGATGCTAGGAACAAAATCTTTGCAGGACCATTTATACCATAAGACTATTTACAAGGGAGAGATAGTGGAGCTCCCATAGAGATACCACTTTCATGAGGTCAAAGACATCTTGAGATTTTCCTTTATCTTCCTTATTTTTGGACAGTAATCCACTTGCTATGTTTCCGTCTTCTGTGTAGTAGGTTAAAAATAAATGTGATGTAGTAGAGGAAAATTATCCTAAAGACATGCTGTTGACTCTTCTCTTCCATTGTAGAGAAACATTTGTCCGATGATCTCAGAATTCTTGTCTACAAAGTGTTCTGTATATTCAAATTACCTATTGTCTCAGCTCACTAATGTAGGAAACATGAATTACTTAGAATTCCTATGTAGTCCTGTTCTTCAAGAGAGAGGTTGAAAAAAAAGCATCGTCTTTTGCTGTTATAAATTACTGTAATTTCAATGAGAGCTTCATATTGATGTTTCTTATCTTTTTTAGCTGAGTAGCACTAAACTTTTATTTTGTATTAATGCAGGAAGATATCAAATCACTTACTGCTCATATCGTTGAAAACTTTTATAAGGCACTTGAATCTATTGAATATGTTCAAACATTCAAAGGTTTGAAGACAAAATATGAGCAGGAGAAAGACAGACAGAGCCAGAAACTGAACAGGTACACACTTTAAAACTGAAATCTGAAACCCAGTACTAGATAGTCTATCTTGCAGATTTCCTGAGCCGTTATTGTTTGTTCCATTAATATTGTGATAAGCACCTTTCATATAAGTATTATATCCTATATAGCAGTGCAATTTTTAATTGTCTCAGGAATTTCTATATATAATCCGTATCTGTCTCCAGTCCTTGTTTTAGAGATATTCTAATGCTTAGGGTTTTCTTAGTTAATTTGAAATATATATTTCAAAATTTCTAAACAACCAAAACAAAATTCAGATTCATGCTATCAGGGAGGATGTTGTGGTTTATTCTTAGTTGGGTTCTGTTTTATGACTTTCAATATTGCCCTGAGAAATGAACAGCTAAATTATTGAATGGTCCCCAGATATTAATTTTCCCCAGGCATATTAAGAATTGCATTTTGAAAACAACTTTGGGAAAGCTTCTAGGGGCTCTAGTCCAGCCTTTACAGCTTACAGATAGCCTTGATGTGTTTGCATCCCCAATTCAAGTTAAGATATTGTAAAAGATGGGGTGATAAATAAAACAAAAGGGAATAGATATTAACTATACTACCAAGCATGTCAATGCAAAACTAATAGCAATGAGTTTTGTTCATTGGCGCATTAGGATATTCTTAAAGATTTGCTTACATAGCTAGCTTTGTGTTCCAACCCATCAGAATTTGTGTGGATTTGACTTTTCTTTTATTTGTATTAAGAAGTTAACTTTCTATATTACCATAGAATCTGTCCTAAGCCATATTATTATCTTCTTTGGGACTTAGAGAGTTCAGTATTTTAGATACTAAAGCATACTTTTTGAGAAACATATTTTGACAATATTTTAAGAGCATAATTTTGCTTATTATTCTCATCAACTATGAACTAATCAAAATAAAACAGGATCTGTCGTTCTAGAAAGAGAATGACTAGAAAAGATAGCAGAAAGAGAATTTAACAGATCTTGAAATCTTTCCATAATAAAGATAAAATATATTAGGACGATTTATTAAATCCAGATTATGTTTAGTACAAAATGTGTGTATGCCTCACCTGGCCTTTAGGCTCGGAAGGAAACTAATGAAACCCCATGTATTGACCTCAGCTTATTAAGAGAAGCCTAAATAATAGCAACATTAATAAAAACATAAACTCTCAAAACTATTTACTAGTAATCTTTCCATACCATAACAAACATATGTAATGTGTATTTATCAGCCTTGTTTGCATTACGTATCAAATTGTAAAGGGGTATTTTTTTAAATGTTTTACAGCGTCCCGTCTATACTGCGTAGCAATAGGTTTCGTAGAGATGCTAGAACTTTGGAGGAAGATGAAGAAATGTGGTTCAATGAAGATGAGGAGGAAGAAGGTGAAGCAATTGTACCACCTGTAGAGAAATCCAAGTCTGAGGATGATTTTCCAGAAAGTTATGAGAAGTTTATGGAAACAAAAAAAGGTATTGTTTTCTATTTTGTAGCACATGATATTTCTGTGTGACTTACAAGCAGTCCTTGACTTATGACCACAAGAGCCAGTCACTCTCTGTCAGCTCTAGGAAAGAAGTAATGTCAAACCATTTCTGAAAATCTTGCCAAGAAAACTGCAGCAACTAGGAGTCAATGCTGACTTGAAAGCACAAAAAATAAACAAAGCAGTGGAGCTTCCAAGCCTTTTCATACATGATCTCTGTAGATGACATGAAGACAAGCCATTCTATTCAGTCTTATTAAAAGGGTAAATATTACTGGGAGGTGATCATTAAGAATTTCAGGCTTGAGAGTATAGTTCATGAACAGCTTTAAATATGACATTCAACAATATGATTTGAGGTCAAAAGTAATTTATAATCTCAAAACAGAGGTGTTATATGGGAACCTTGGTGTGCACCAATATATTTACTCGGGCTGCTGCACTCTGGACCAGCACTACTTTTCAGATAATCTTCAAAGCTAGTCTCATGTGAAAAGTATTACAGTAATCCATCAAGTAACATGAGTGACAATAATTCTTCTGTTCAAGGAAAACTCATAGTTGGTACAAAGAATACATATGAATCTTGGACAACAAATTTTGACCACATTCTTCTTGGGAGAAGATCTCTTTCAGAACTAAAGATGGTGTCTGTCTAGAAACAACAAACCCTTCAAATCCAGAGGCACAGAAATTTAATATTTAAATTAAATTAAATTTCTGAGATTGAATGTAATCCTGTTCTGATTCAAGCACCACTTTGTGTATTTGACTCAGGATCAAGATGTAGAGATGTTGATCCTGTCAAGCTGCTTCATATAGCTGTTAAAAGAATTGGATAAATTGTTGAAACTAAAACCATCCCTTCAGGAAGTAATATGATAAAATGGAACTCCCTTGCAATGTTATCCCCTTTTGTTGCTATGTATCAAGTTTGCCAGGTATTCAAATCCAAAGACTACCTTTTGAGTCATTTTCCTTAAGGCAATAATTAAGGAGTTAAAGTATTCACCTAAGGTATCTAGTCTGCTGGCTAAAAAATAATAATTGTATGTCATGGCCAACTGGGCATCTGAACTGGTGCTTTATATATCAAATATTGACATATTTGTCTATGCTCAGATAAGTCAGATCCTAAATAGATAGTCTTATTTTTAATAATAAAGGTTATTTGATGCCAAAATAGGTTATATTAGGGACAGAATCCAAAAAACTGAAGATCAGATGTAAAATGAGACCTATTTTTTTCATCCTCAAAGTTGGGACTCCACTAATCATGAAATACTTTTTTGTGCATTCAGTCCACACAAAATATCTTTAATATTAAATAGGTTCAATAAAACAATAATATATTTCTCCCTTTCAACTCTGTTTACAGGTTTTGATAGATCTTCTCAATTTTTCAACCATTTCATTTTTCATTATTGTTCTTACATTATTATTACTATTGAATAACAGCATTAGGAGAGGGCTTGGAGTCATCTAGTCCAACTTCCTGCTCAATCAGGAAACCTTATAATATTTCAGACACATGGTCGTTCAATCTCTTCTTAAAATCTCCTGTATTAGAGCATCCACAGTTTCTGGAAGCAAGTTGTTCCACCGATTAATAATTCTAACTATTAGTTTACATGCAATGCTATTTATTCTGCCTTTGGGTGCTTTGGAGACTAGGTTGACTCATTTTCTTTGTGGCAACCCCTTAGCTATTGAAACACTGCTATCATGTCACCCCTATTTCTTCTTTTCATGAAACTAGAAATACCCCATTCTTGTATGTTTAGCCTTCATCTAATCAACTTTATTGCTCCTGTTTGAACTCTTTCCTAGAGTCTCAACATTGAATTCATTTCCCATCCTGTTACCTGAGAATATTCAAAAAATTATATCCCTTGTTCTGAAGGGTTTTTTGCTTCTTGTTTAGTAAAGTTTACCGAATCTACTGGTGGGGAGAAATTGGAAATTTCTTTTGATATTTCACTAATTTCTTTTATTGATATAGACATAGATTTTTTGATTCTCTAGCAGATTCCTAATGAATATGTCAGTGGACTTCATTAACGTCTACTCTTATTATTTATTTTATTTCATTTATTTGCCACCCATTTCGAAGCAACTCTGGGCAGCTTACAGCATAAAAACATTAAAATCATCAGACATTTACTGGAACAGCTATTATACAGAGAGTGCTTTATTTCATGAATTGCCTAATTTCAATACAAGTACTTCTTTCCATCTTTATCACTGTTTTTCCTTTTTACCAGATACTTGATGACTGCTTAGCATAAATCTGTTTATCTTAGCTATTGAGTAATGGTCTGTTTTCTTCTTAGTTGTATTACTTCCATTTCCTTTTATTCTCTTTATCCATCTTGGACAATTCTTTCTCTGAATTAATATGAAAAAAATACTTAATGGACTTCAGAAATGTTGGGAGGACTCCAGATTAGTTTCTGTCCTCTTCACAGAACAAAGTCTTTGCTAACAATAGTGGGTAATACAGTCTCAAAGGTATTCATTTCCATGGTTTCAGTTCTGAAGAAGGCTGAAGCTTTAGTGTTTTTCCCATTTGCAAGTTAAAGTTGTGCTTTCTGTAATATTGGTTCCTCCTCTTTTGTCACATTTAAGATGTTTGTTTTGTAGTGGAAGGGCTTCTTTTTTATGTTCCTTTATATTGCATTAATTATTAATGGATTGATGGAATAGCATTCAGACAAAGCTGCATGGGTTTTAGTGTCTTTGTGCAATTTTCTGTTCCATGTCTAATAAGACATTCTCAAAAGCATTTTCTATTATTTATCTTGTGAAACTCTTTGGATTAATCTACCTTATTTATTCTTATGAAAGGATAAGTATCTTTGACCACATAATGCATTTCTTTCCATAATCAATAGATCTCAGTCACTATTTGATTCTGTTAGTTTTCTCCAGTTCCTTTTGTCACTTAGAAATGTTACACCTTGGATGTTTGAGAATTCATTGCATTTTATTTGACTGGGAAAAATAGATAAAAATATAAAAATAAAAAACTGTTTTTTATACAACCCAATTTCCTAATATGGTGTCTTAATTACTGTGAAACTATGCTATGAAAGTGATTTGTCTACAACCATGGCACAAACTTCTTTCCTTTGCAAAATCATTGTAGTGGAAACTAATTGCACACCTTTCGGGTGTTCATAGTTGGCTGGGCATTCAGTGACAGCAAACATGAAAGTAGTTGCCTTTCTAGTGGTAATGTATGGCTATGGAACCTGGATACTGAAAAAGATTAAAAGAAAAAGACAACATAAAATAATAGAAATGGTTAGTAACAAACAGCAATTTCAAGAAGAATCAGTCAACCACTCCTGGACCAAATAAAAGTTGACTGCTTCCTTTATTGGTGATCAGCAATGCATAACTCACATATTTGAAATAAATGATGTCTACTGATGATTAACCAGGAAGAAAAATGATTAGAGCATGCATGGCAAGGTTTAGGAAAATAGAGAAATCAGAGGAACCACCAATAGAGATATTGTGGTTTCATCATATCGGGAGTCATGTTCTGGTTTTATCAGAAAAGTTATAAGCATGTAGCTAGATAAAATGCTCCCTTCCCACCTTTGCTAATGTGCTATTTTGTTAAGAAAACAACGAACAGATTGAATTAATTTATCCCAATGACTACTATAAATAAACATTTTTTTTCTTTTAGCAAAAGAAAGTGAAGACAAAGAAAATCTCCCCAAAAGGACTTCCACAGGTGGCTTCAAATTTACATTTTCCCATTCTACCAGTGCAACTAATGGAGCAAATAGTACAAATAATAAATCTGTTGCAGCTCAGACATCACCAGCAAGTTCAAATGGTTCTTCTTCCAAGAATGCCAATTTGACTACAGCAGTCACAGCCACAAAGGTGAGTTAAACTTGTGATATGGAGCTTTGTAGTTTAAAATTGTTAACGATATGATAAGGACAATTATTGTAAACATCCATATATAACATTTTAAGAATCCAGAATGGGGATTGCATGAATTCAGAATGCATGAAGTAAAGATGCATATCTTTTGTCAGTAGTATTCTATTAGAATGTAATATTGACTTGCAGCCTGTACTGTTTTCAGCAGTCAGATTAGGTTTAACATTTGGTTGTGTCCTGGATTTATGAGCTCATGAATTGAAATGATTTTCATAGTATGTTCCCCTAGGCATTTGGATAGTATAGTTAGGCAAGCTCTGCTAAATAGTGTTGTTATCTGTTTTAAGTAAGGTTTATGCTTATATCTGCCGGCATTATGGTTGTTGGTTAAATTATTTTTAATCCTTCTACATTGCCAGTATCATTTTTGTGAGATAGGCAGCCTTGTAAATGTTTAAATAAATACATACTGTTTTTATTCTTAGTCGTTTATAAAGTCTGGCAAGTTTAGGTAAGCTGTAATACATAGATAATGTTAATATTATCTGTGTCACTTAAAATTATTATTTGGGAGGTTAAAAGTTTAATAAATTCAATGTACTATATTGAAGCCACGAAATGGCTATTTTGCTATATTGATATTGATAGTTATTAGGGTTGTTTCTAATGCTAGATTTTGTATATGCAGGAGAGTTCAAGTTCATAGGTGCTACTGTTACATTTACATTGTTTAAATTGTCCTAGTTTGAATAGAGACAGCCTTAGACATGGTAACCAGAATTGTAAATGAATATGTTGCCCTGCTGCATGAGAGTGGGATCATCTATAGTATATTAGTTAGACGCAACAACCAGGATCTTAGTATTTTGCCCCAGTATTTTCTATCATGGCAATTTCATTTAGTGATCATAGCTGCTAGTCTCTGATCTCTTCTTGAAAAAGTTCTTCTAAAATCAATTCATTGAGTGATAGTTGGCACATTTTGTGGAAAACAGAATTTATAAAATGGAAAAATGTCATTGCTATTTGTAAAGTCTTTCTCCATTGGTTCATATGTGACTCTTTACATCCAACAGGGAAGTTTAGTTGGCCTTGTGGATTATCCAGATGATGAAGAGGAAGAGGAAGAAGAAGAAACATCCCCAAGAAAAAGACCTCGTCTTGGCTCTTAAAAATGTTGGAACAAACTCTAATAGAGGGTGCTTAAATGCTATGACTGAACTAAATAGTCTGACTCAGAAAGCGTTCTCCCTGGAAAATACATGAGAATACAAGGAGTAGCAAACGAAAATCTACTAGAAAGGTTATGTTCTGAGAACACCACGCTTCCAAAGAACCTAATCCCTTTCTAGTCAAGGAGTCTGCCATTCAGACTGTTAAAATGTTAAAACAGTGGATTAGTAATCAGCACCTGGAATGAAAGCTTGCCAGAAAAAAATAGTCATCTTGGGTTCTGTGAGGGGATGGGGATGGGAGAAGAAATTTTGATATTGCAGGGTTTCCCCAGTTTGTAGCAAGCTAGGAAAAACTTGTAAGGCTTCAGTTGCAAACCTAGTAATATAACTTCGTAATGGTGCTGTCCATTGTGTTTTTTTAGCAATTGCCTCTTTTTAAATAATGAATTCTCTTTCCATTAAAAAAAATCAGAATTGGGGACCACTGTTTTGCACAGTCAGCCAAATTATAGAGGGTTGCACACTGCTACATAGTGCATGTTGAGTGGCAAACTTTTATTTTTTTCTCAACTCTCATTATTTTGGAAGAAGAAAAAGAACCTGGGTTCTAAATGCAAGCAGACTAGAAGGAGCTATCCAGGAAAATCATTCTATAGATCATCAGCTTTCCAGGAAAAAAACAACCCTCTAGAAACTATCAATAAACCTTGGTACTTGAAATGACAATTGAATTGCAATTACTAGTAGCATTTTACAGAAATAACATTGAATGGAATTGCTCCCTAATTTCCAAAAATATTTTCCTTCAGCCATCCACATTTCACGTTAGGAAAAGCAGGAGGTGTTGTGAAATGCTACCAGAAACTCTTGAATCTTACTTCAAAGATATGTAATCTGGGGGGCAGAGTTAATATGCAGCACTATAAACCTAAGGGGTTTAGCATAAAGCTGCTTCTTAAACACATTCCATGTATTTAAGCAAATGTCTAAAAGTACACTAGGTGAATTGATGAAGGCAACCATTTTGAGACTTTTTTCCTTTCAGAGCAACTGAATTGTAAATATTTTAATGTTAGTTTGGCCATATATGATCTGAGATCATGCACACAAAAATTCCCTAAATTACAAATTGCGGTAAGAGTGATACAAATTGAAACCAGCAGGAATCCTCAGTTATTGGTCACTCTTACAATATGTGATGGGTCCATTTCTCCTGGAAATTTCATAGTTTTAATTTTAGCTATTGTTTGAAAAGATGGGCTGTCTGTAGATATGAAGTATAGTTTTTCCATGAAACAGAAGTTTATTTTGTATTGAGGGGAAAAAAACCACTGTACTTGTTTTACACCATTTGTATACATGTGGTAATACTAATGCTGACCTGTAAAATTCAGGAATTAAAATGTGACCCTGTAATTCCATGATTAGTGGTTTTTTATTGTTTTATTGTTGTAAATGGTAAGTTAATTCAAATTTAGAGATGTGGCCATTTTAGTTTATTTTAATGGTAGTGATTTGTACAATTTAATCTGAATCAAATCTAGCAGAAAAAGCAATACTCTTAGATTTGATTCAGTGTGTTGTGATGACTGACAATGTGGTCCGAAGGACATATTTCTGCCCTTTAGGGGCTCCAGGCAACCAACAATGGGGCTTTCCTGTTCTCTTTTTCAATGAAGACTTAGAAGAAGTTGTTACATAAACAATTTGCTTCAGCAGATTTTCTGTGTTGACTTGCACTTTTTTGGGTACTCTTGGCAAGTCTTTACCCTTCATAGAAGTAACTTTCCCATAAAACTGAATAGCAAACCATAGGAAAATAAAGGTGTGCCATTTCCTTGACAGTGATGTTCATCTGGTGTGGATCCAAACTATTCAATACATCACTGAAAAACAGACCCAATACACATCTGGATCATTTTTTTCAGCCTATTTCAAAGATTAAAAATTTTAGAATATGCAGATTCATTTAAGCTGTCAATACATGAGAAAAAAAGTTGATCTTTTTTTTACTTCAATATAAACAATAGGTGACTTTTTAGCCAATATCTGAACACTCAGCAATGCTGTGAAAAATGCATTGAATTTCTCCAGTTTAAATTACGCAATCTGCCTCAGGTACATACTTCCACCTCAGTTCTTTTAGTCTGGTTTCTTTGCCACAAGACAGCCCACATTTCAAATGCCTGGGGTCCTTCAACTAAGTTTTTTTAAAAGATGACATCTGCCAACATGTCTGAGTTAAATACTATTTTAATAAAAAGTTATATGAAATGTGAATAACCTGTGTTTATACTGTGTTACAAGAAACTTTTCTTACCAACGAGGTAGAAATATTAAGTTACTCTGACCAATGAAATATAAGCAATACTAGAAAGCTGTTTGGTATAATTATGATTACAATGAAGTTGAATGGTATATCCAAAACAGTTAGTCATGGCATGGGCCCATTTAAAAGGTTTGGAAATGCTAACACTTAACCTGACTGATCATGCTATCATTTGTACAATGCATACTGAGTCTGATACACACAATGACGCATGTTTAAATCCAGATTATAAATAAAATTAGTTGATCTTAGATAGCAATAGCAATAGCAGTAGACTTATATACCGCTTCATAGGCCTTTCAGGCCTCTCTAAGCGGTTTACAGAGAGTCAGCATATTGCCCCCAACAATCTGGGTCCTCATTTTACCCACCTCGGAAGGATGGAAGGCTGAGTCAACCCTGAGCCGGTGAGATTTGAACCGCTGACCTGCTGATCTAGCAGTAGCTGCAGTGTGCATTTAACCACTGCGCCAATGGGGATTGAGTTTAACAAATACAATCTAATTCCTATGAAATTTAAAGAGATATCTTGAGTACCATTTTTATGAACAGCAGTAAATCCTATGAGATACTAAAACCTTTTCTATCTGCTTATGGTAACAGACACAGCGGAGCACATGAGTGAGATCTCCCCAGTTTTCAATCTGTGTGTGAACTGATGTTACCCATCTATGTTTTTCCCATCTCTTGTTTAGGTTGATGAGGCCATCTTAAGACAAAAATTAAGTTTAGTCAATTTAATGTTTTAATAAAAGTATTTGACAGCAACATTCAAAAAGTAATATTAAATCCAACAAAAGTACAACAGTGACCAGCCTGACCCAGCATATACCAGAAATAGCAAGAAACAAAAGAGTGGAATTTATTAAAAATGTTAAATCATTGCTTTCCTCTCTACTTTTGAACCAATTTAAAGAATTACTGTTTTTATAATATATAATATCAAGTTAATGCAATGGAATAGTTGTAAGCAAACAGTTCATGGTTAAATATGTAACCTTAGAAGCAGCTTCTTTAAACTATCGCTTATTAATGACTTCTTCTTTTAGTTTTGCTGCAAGAATTCGCTTCTTTAACAATCTTTGTTCCTCTTCTTCTGACATTGCCTGAAAAGAAAAGAAAAATTAGCTTGCAGTAATTATGGCTAACTACATTTATTTTTAGTATTCCCATTGATTTCAATGAAGTTTACATTCAAGATAAATTAGATTGTAGACAAAAGACAAAAACAATTTGTAGAATATGTAAATAAATGTTAGTTTCTTTTGGTTCACTAAAACAAAAATATCGCAATTTTGTAGGTTATATTAAAGCAAGAAAAGCAATAGATAAAATGCTACTTCACATATTAGAAAGGGCAAACTAACTCTGTCCTGGACAGGAATATGTGTGATTGTGATTTCAGTCATATTTGTACAATAATTATGCCTAATGTTTAAAGTATTCTCCTTAAATAGTGTTTTCTGATTTATCTGCTGTGAAAATTCATTACACCTTTAACACATTGCCAGTGAAGATTGTCAATGACTTCAGAGAGTAAAAATGTTCAATATCATTCTTCCTCCACTGGCCTAAAGAATGCTAGGCGACTATCGCTTTCATACACTTTTTTCTTTTAACAGGAAAAAAAATCACACGCATAAGATAGCTTTATGCCACTATGGGCAGAGTCAAAGGAGCTTTAGTCCTATTCCTATTTAGTCAAAGGCAGGGGATGACCTGTCAAATGAACAAAAGAAATTTCTAAGGTAGCCCAATTTTTTTCCTTGGTTCACTGGACTTTGATGGTATTTTGGCAACTTCTTGAGAGGTTTAACACTGTCAAGCACAACACAGCTGAATGAATAGAATTAATTTTGCCAAGAGCTGCTCAGGAACTGAATTAACTTTTTCTAGCCAATCATCCCCACTGATGAGATTTAGCTGTTTTCTCTTATCTGCCCACCACTGCCTCCAACTAAGTTAACAAGGCCTTTAAACAGATTAACTTGTTTGTCTTAGTAAAAGTATCTTTGAGACTATGATGTACATTTTCAGATTAGAATCATGTTTTTCCAAAGTAGACTGAAGACTTAAAGAAGACAGGTGGTTTCAGACAGGCAATTTTAATTCTGTTATCCTTCACCTCTTTAGAAGGGGACAACTCTTCTTTCTGTTCTATATTTTGTGGTGGGAGACTTGTTTTTGATTTCTTCTTCAAAGCCATCAATGCATCTCGTTTCTGCTTTAGATAGTCCTCACGTTCTCTCAGCTCTTTTGCTCCAAGTTCTGATAATTTCTATTTGAATTTAAAAATCAGATTTTATATATAGTTCCTGAAAAACATTTTTATCAAATACAGTTGCTACAGTCCCAATAACAAATTATAAAACAAAAGAGAAAAAATACAACATTGTGCAGAACTGCTCAAAACCTTCCCAAATTCCATTCAGGTCACAAAACATGGGTAGTAGCTACTGAAAAAAAGTTTATTCTATCATGCTCTTTCAGCTGAAAATGAGATTGAAAAACAAAGTTTAGAAAAAAATGGGAGTAGGAGCAACTTGCAACTTCCTGCCAAACTCCCCATTTACTCTGCATCTGAGAAGCTGGCATGGAACACAGGAAAATGTGATCCTATATTTGCAGCTTGCTGTGATGTTGGAATTAAAATGAACACAGAAAGCTCAACATGAAAAATCAAACAATTAAAAATGAACATCTTAAGCATCAGGGAAATAAGATTCATTGGAATTGATCTTTCAGTCAAAAGATCACATTCAGGACAAAAAGTAAAGAAAGACAGCACTGCTCTTGGGTGGGGTAAAGTAAGAACTTTGCTAAAATTCAGTCAATGACCAAATTAATTGATATTTATTGACTTCCAACCACAGATGCAGTTTACATGATCAAGTTCAATTTGAAATTGTCAGAACATGCAAGCAAGATATAAATAAAATGTGCTGCTTGTGATTGGAGACTGGAACTTTAGTTGGTTTAGGAAAACAAAATGAAGCAGATCATCTTACTAATTTCTATGGCTCCACTGATTTCTTTGTAGCTAACACTGTCTACAAACAACTAAAAGATGCCCTACACATGGGCATTAGCAGAAGGGGGTGCATAAAAATCAAATCAAATTATTGCAAAAAGAAGATGGAAGAGTCCATTACAGTATCGAATGTATGGCTAGGTGCTGACTGTGGAACAGATCACAAACTGCTCATATGTAAATTCCAAGTTAAAATGAAAAAAGAAAGCTAGTCAGTTTTCACAATAAGATCTTTCAGATATGCCCATTATTTTCCAGAGTAACATCAGGAATCACTTTGAAGTCTTAACAGTCATTGAGAACCAGAGGAATTATGGAATGAATTTCAAGAATTTGTTAAGTAGAATGTAAAGAGACTGCCAAAAATGAAGAAAAAGAAAACAATTAGATGTCAGAACGAATCATGGAAATATCCAAGAAGAAAAGAGAAGTCAAAACCAAGAAAGAAGGAAAAATCACAGAAAGGTATTAAACAAAGAGTTTCAGAGAGATGTTAGAAGAGATAAGCAATAGTAATACATCATCTAAAGAAACGGAAAATGGAAACAGACATGGAAAAACAAGGGAAGATCTCTGAACTTAGAAGAAAATTCCAACTTTGAATTGGTATGTCAAACAATGCCAAGGGACTCTTTTAAAAGAGATCAAAGGAAGATGGAAGTAGTGTATACCAAACACTATTGTAGAGATGTCAACATCCAAGATACTCAGAAGTTATTTCCTACTTACAAGAATGTCCATCAGACCTCTAATGCCCATCAGACCTTCAGGGAGAACACTAAGCTATCCCTGGAACCCTCTAGAGTTCTTAAGTTGACTGGGGCAAACTGATCTATTGAATACTATCTCCATGCAGGTTGGGGTGCTGCCAAAGCAATCAGAGAATGATCTAACAGAAGTCCACAAATAGTCTATTCTTCTCTACTGATCCCCACTATTGAAACTCACTACCTTTTGCTATCTGACTGGGATGAATACAGTATATTTAAATACCTGATAAAACTGCTTTTAGCACTTTTACAATAATTGAGCTTACATATCAGTTTTTCTATAATGTTTCTTCCCTTGTGCCTTGCTGTAATCAGTAAGCTACAAGGAAGGCTTTGTATTATTATGTACGCACAACATCTATAAGGTCCTAGAATATTATTGTTTTACAGTTATTGTAATGTTTGTGTGCGTGTTCATGTGTGTGTACATATATTACAAAATATTAGTTCAATAATATATTTTTTAAAGTGAGCATGCAGCTTACACGTCCTTCTAGCACTCCTTGCTTTGTTACATATTCAGAGACATCCCCAACTGCTTTCCTGCAACTATCTTCCTTCAGTTTGACAGAGGAATGATCTTGAATAGATACATCATTTTGTTTTGCTTCTGGACCTGAATATATATTGAAATAAATGCATATACTTATATGTCTGCCATATATGAAGATATTAATAATCAATAACGAATAGTTAAAACCAAAGGTTTTTAATTTAATTTTTCCATTTTTGGAATAATTGCCAATTTGATGTAATAGGGAAAGAAGCTCACAGTTAAATTTGATAGAGACGTGTCCTCCATTTAGACAAGGAAAGCCACTATTTTCTTTCTCCATTTCATAAGCTATGAAAAACTAAATAAATCCATAGCAGAACTGGATTCAGTATCAATTCATACATATCTCAAATCAAAAAACAGCTTTTTGGCATTTGGATATAGAGCTGCAACTTTCAATTATAGAAAAACTAACTACAAACCTGAAATTAATATATTCCATGAACAAATTACTTTCAGGTAATGCTGAATTACCATTTCCACCCCACCCCACCCCAAACTGTCCATCCAATTAGTATAATCAGTGGCTATGTATTTCAAAAACAAAAACATACCTTCTTAAATTTATCTTGAAATGAAAATAAGGATTTTGTTTGTGATGGAGTTTTGACCAATTGCTATAATGGTTAACTAACACCCAACTAACAAAGTTTGGCATCAATTTAGTAGAAGCAAGAAATTCATTTCAATAGAAATATGAATAAATACTTTGAGTATGTTTAATACAAAAGCCAGGTAGCAGTTAAAGCCACTAGGTTAGATACTGTGAGTCAGTGAGTTTGTCCTGCATTAAGCCTGAAGCCAGTTGAGTGATTTTGGGTCAATCACCCTCCTACAAGGAAGTGAGAAACTAGTTCCAAAAATGTTGCCAAGAAAACTACTGTTCTGTCACTAGAAGTCAAGCTGAATTTGAAAGGACACACACATGCAACAACTTTAATATAAATGCGGCAAATACCTGAATATAATCATACCTGGCAGTTTTGTAGTGTGTTTTAGAGACCTCTTAGGTCCCGCACTTTCATTAAAATGTCTTGGAGATTTATGTGCAACATCAGGTGATTTCATTTTATCATGTGCCTGCATTTTTAAGAAAAAAAATAGTGAGAAATCAATTTAAGTATTACAAAAGTATTTCAACTACAAATTTTCAATCAGCTACAAATTTTCACAGTTTCAGGCCCAAATTGATTTCCTTGGACATTACTTGATACTTAATTTGTCAATAGAGGGGGCGTGCATAAGTGCATTAACGTGCCTACTGTCCCTGTCATTGTATTTTTATTCTTGTTCTCATTTTTGTTTGACAAATTCCAACAAATAAATAAATAAATAAAAGTCGCATATGCAGAAAAAACCAACATGTTATTAAATGCATAATTTAATAAATGTTATTTAAATCTAGTTACCATCTTATTAAAATAGATGGCAGGATGTAGTAATAATTAAAATATTAAGATTGAGATCTCCTAAAGAAAGAATATATTAGAATTTTTAAGATTTTTTTCCTCCATTGTTTCCTGTACTTTTCTTATAAATTAAACCTGTTTCTTATAAAGCTACAGTTCAAAAATAAAATTACTGTCTCTCATTAAAAAAAGAAAAACCATCAAAATCTTTTCTTCACAGTACTCGGCAAACACATTAGCAATCAACACTTAAATATACAGGGAAAGGAGTTTATTGTGCAAATTTCTATCTCAATCAACTTATCCAACATAGTAACTTGGGTAAATAAATCCAGAATAAAATCCTGGTGTAAGCTTTAATGGCTGGCATCAATGAAGCAGTGATGAATTTTCAGGCAAATGGCCATGATCTAGTTTTGTGTAATGTTTTGCCAGCAGCTATGGCTGGCATCTCCTGAAGCAGAGTAAACTGCTTTGTGGTATACCTCTCTGCAGCTCACAGGCAACTGAGTATTGAGGAAAAGGTTGTGTCACGAGGAAGCAATGTGCTACCACTGCACAGGGATGAGTCAATTAACTGGAAGAAGTTTTGAATTGGGTGACCGTGTTATGCATCAACTACAATTCCAAGTAACAGCTTTTTGAGTTAGGGGGCAGGGACAAAAATGTCAGCTTGCATTATTTTCTTAGAATCATCAAAAGTCAAGATAAGCATCATAATCATTCCAAAACCACAAGTGGATACAAGCAAGAAATCAAGAGTTGCAAAAAACCACAAAACTGATTTCAATTAGTAGGAATATGCTGATCATTTTATTCAATCAATGATGAGAAATAAATGTCTTTTATTTATTTATTTAAATTTATATATGGCCCATCTCACTATCAAACAACTCTGGGCAGCTTTTACTGAAGACTGAATTTACTGAAGAGAATAATTGTATAATTGCAACCACTTGGGGTTTTGTTGAATTGATTTCCCAATATACCTCATTATTTCTTTTCCTTTCTTGCTCTAGATCATATTCTTCCTTAGACTTCCTGCGAAGATAAACAGGAAATACTTTAATATATACACTGCCCTACCATTCTTTAACAGTCATATGATTGTTGCAGTTTATAATTAATGTAATAAACCTAAAATAAATACAAAACAGAAAAAGTTTTTAAAAATGACAAGACAAATTAGACAAATTTAATCTCTATTAAAATACATTTTTAAAATGTTTGCAAGAACATAAGAATAACATACAAAATTAAAGCTAACACAATGAAACAGACTGTAATCATCAAAATGCAGTTCAAAAGAATTAAAAATCATGGAAAAAACTGAATTCTGAAGCTGGACTTATGGAAAAAAGTGTGATGTCACTATGAATATTAGGCATAAGTAACCCAGGGAACTCAATTCCTGACCACTGCTTCCGCTATTTAGACATAGGGAGCCAATCACTCTCATCCTAATCTACATCACAGCTTTGTGGGTCTAAAGATAAAATAGGAGATCTCTATATGCACTTCAAAATTCCTTGAAGGAAAAAAAACTGAGCAGATTTTGCTTCTGTTGACTATGAAATAAAATAGAGTGCAAATGTCAACTCTGTTTCTTGGCTGAGGGAGCCAAAAGCACATGGAATGCTGTTACCTTCCCACTGAAATGGTAACTATTAATCTACTCGCATTTGTATGCTTTTGAACTACTAGGTGGAGAGGAGCTGGGACAGGAATGGGAGCTCACCCTATAGCGCGACGCTCAGGTCTTGAACCCAAACTGTCAGCTTTCCAGCTAACAGGTTCAGTGTCTTTAACTGCAGAGCCATTGCACCCCAACTATAAAGTAGTTTGCCTATATTTTCTTCCAATATGCTAGGATTTTTTTAAATTTCCCAGTATAGGCTAGAGCCCTGGGATTTCTGGATGTAAGCTAAGTAACTAATTTAAGATTTTGCTTAGATTTTAGGGTGAACAAAAGCAGATAGAAGACCTCATCTATAAAAGCTCTCAGAATAAAAGTTCCAACTAAAACCTTCAAAAGAGGCTTTTATTATTTAACATAGTGGTACTTTATTTACTCAAATTCAAAATAAGTTATATTTACTCAAGTAAGCGCATAACATTGCAAGAAGCCAAATTTACAGCCAGAATATAATATAGCTGTAAATCTTTCAAGTCAATGTGAATGACATACAATTCTGAAATACTCCATGGTTTGAAAAAAAAAGTCATTAAGCAATTCAATGAAAAATGATTAAAACAAACTTAACAAGCAGACTAACGTTTAATGTTTCTGCAAGGTTTGTCTCCCTTTTTTCTCATTTATGGATTGAGCAAAATGGAAAAACTGCCCAGAAAAGGAAGTCACTTTAGGTTCACTACTTGCTATCAATGTCCTTCTGAATCCAAGCCTACAGAGATCCCTTAAGACCTTGCACGAAAATAATATACAAGCAGTTTTTTTAGCAATTACCTTACGACCGTGCATAAACACAATGGTAATAAACTAATAAAAAATTATATCCTGACCAATGGGATGCACTTACTCTCAAATTCTTCCACCTGACAACAGCACATGTGCGAGGAAAATAACACTGGCACTGCTGCACAAGAAAATTTTATCTAAATGAGGAGGCAGCAACCAGCACAAATATAATCAATATTTACTTATGCATTGTGCTGAAATTTTGTATCTCATGTTTTCCAAATATTTAACGATATATCTGTAATTTGAGCCGAGGTGATGCAGTGGTTAAATGCAGCACTGCAGGCTACTTCAGCTGACTGCAGTTCTGCAGTTCGGCTGTTCAAATCTCACCAGCTCAGGGTTGACTCAGCCTTCCATCCTTCCGAGGTGGGTAAAATGAGGACCCGGATTGTTCTTGGGGACAATATGCTGACTCTGNTCTGAACTAAAATATAAAATATATAAAAATAAAAGCTCCAGCAGTTACAAAATATGTCATACGGGCAATTTATGGCACTCAAAGAGTATGCATATAACACTTCCACTAGCTAGCGCTCCCTCCCCCCCCCTCTCTCTCTCCCTCTCTCTCTCTCACACACACACACACAGAGTTTGTTTGTTATTTATTTTAGAAACCTGCAAGAAAGTAATCTCTGTAAGCTTGACTCAACGAACAAATACAGTAGCAGCTTCAGTGTTCTAGACCTAAGAGATTACTTGGGAATTTTTGTTTGTACTAATTGCTCCTGGAGTAATAAAAATAATCACCAAACACCACTAAGATTCTTACTTTTAATTCTACTAAGGTGCATAAATGCACTAAATAAAAATATTCTATATTTTTTGATCCCATTCTTTAAAATATTAAGCAGACATCAAAGGATATACTGTATTAAAGAAACATACATACACACACACCTATTGGCAAAAGTGTTTAAACTGCCAGTATACTTTAGTACTTTTACTATTTGCTATTTATTTAAATTTATATACCACCAAATAATTTAACTCCCAGCAGTTTACAATAAACTAAAATACAACAAAAAGACCTACTGTAAGAAAAATAAAAACAATTATAATTTAATAGAACCCTCATGATTAAAGGGTGGAAATTCTTAAAATTCCACATATTCCATTGCCAAAAGTAACTGCATCAGTTGGAGCTGCACTGATTGCTGATTTGCTTCCGGGTCCAATTCAAGGTTTGGGATCAAGTTATTTGAAGAATTATCTTTTCCTGGTTACAACCAAAGGATCAGGGAGGCAGGGTACATTGCTGGTCCCCTTTATTAAAGAGATCCATCTTGCGCAGTCAAACTGGCAGGCAGCCCATGGGCCAAATGCGCTACATGCAGGCCACCCCCACCTCCACAAAGGGGGGAAAAAAATCACAAAATGTCATGTGACAGCAACGTGACGCCACAAGTTTGACACCCATGATCTAGAGAGAACAAGGGCTCCCTCCCTGTGAAGCATCATCCTCATGGAGATAAGATTGGTTACTCTTTTGAAAGGCTGGGAAGACACGGTTTTGCCAGTAGGCCTAGGACCCCAGGATGATGTGGAGCCCACCAAGAGGTTTGTTGTTGGTGGGGGATGACTGGATTTTGATTTGGGGTTTTTCTTCTGTGAGCTGCGTAAAGTCACTATGCATGAGGAGCTGACCACATAATTTTTTTGTAAATGTGTCAATAACTACTTTTTTTTACTTCAGATCTCTCATCTTAAGTAAAATATAAAGAAGAATAGCATGCTACTCTTACCAAATAAAATGTATGACACTCTCTCCCATGCAGCACAAGCATCCTAAATCTCCAACTGGCTGAAAATCTAAAACATTGCTATGGTAGAATGTCCCAATCTTCCAAATCACTCATTTCGTCGGTTTCCATTAAATTCAACAATAACTCTTACAATTTTGGGGTGGGGTGGGTAATAATTCTACGCACCGTACATCATAAGGGAAAAATAAACAGCCCCTTGGTTAACGGACTCACCCAAATCAATGGGATGCTAACATATTGAGCTTCGGCTGAATCATGACCGGCAGCCACTCCCATTCCTTATGATCTACTGTAATGCGGTGATAATGATTGCGATAATAATCCACAACCCGTGAAACGCAACTATACAGCAGAATAAAGAAAATCACCACCCGAGGACAGCCCTTCGGACACGGCGACAAACCTATGGGCGGGATTTACACACACACACACACACCACAGCTTTCTCACCTTCACACTTGTGCTCCACAAACTCCAGAATGGGAATAGACCAAGCGGGGCTGCGGAGAAAGCCGGCGATGCTATCTACCACCCACTCCACTTCAGCCTCAACCTCCGCCTCTGCCTCGGTCGCCATCACATCTCCCCCACCCACCCACTTTCTCCCACGCCCTCAAACGCAGGAGCTCGCGCGCCTCTCCACCCCCCTGCACGGCCAAATGAGACGATATGCGCGTGCGCCGGAGGAAAGTGGGCGGGGAGGAAGATGACAGCAAAACTCCGGCGACGGTTAGGCTTCGATTTGCCGTCACTATGGCAATCGTCGTCACTAAAAGGTGGGGAGAGGAGGGTCTAAAATAAACTCACGCGAGAGAAGGCGCGAGATCGTACCCACCTCAATAAGCATGCGCCGCTCTTCCCCTTGCTGACCAATTATATATATTTTGTAAGAATCGATCTTCCGTAACTCAGCAGTTTGAACCCCGTAGAGGGAGGGGCTTAGCATGTTGCCTTTTCTCAAGATTGCCTAATTGCATCCCTGCAGTCTCTGTTGCCAGAAAGATATGCAGATGCTTATCTTTTGCGCTGCCTGCCTCAGAGATAAACCTGGAGAGGGACCGTTAAGAATTTAGTCTGAAGCAATTCAAAAGTTCAGATTGATGGATTCCCCTTTCCCTTCTCATCAGTGATCACCTGCCGCGGATAGGGAAAACAGTCATCAACCACTGTTTTTATAACGTGCAGATGTAGATTAACACATGAGAGAGTTCTCCTGGGACCTTTTTCCAAATTCATCCCATGTTTGTTTGCTGCTGCATATGTTACTTGTCAGCGAAGCTGTTTTTGGACACAGATTTAGCACTGTTCTGGAAGAACACTGAAGTCCTCCAAGATCCCTTTGAATTCTATGATTGGATCTCTCATTGATTCCATCCATTACTTCTTGTTCTGCCCTCAGGTGCTTTGGAGAATAGGTCAATCCCATCTTTGTGACAGCCCCTCAAATATTGAAAGACTGCTGTCACAGAGAGGAGTGGGTTGACCTATTCTCCAAAGCACCTTGAGGGCAGGACAAGAAGTAACAGATGGAAACTTGTCAAAGATAGATCCAACCTAAAAAAATTTAAAAATCCTGACAGATCAATCAGTAGAACAGTTTTTTCTCCAGAAGTTGTGGATGCTCCATCATGGGAGGTTTTTTAGAAAAAAATGGACACCTCTTTGTCCAGATTGGTATATGGTCTCCTGCTTGAGCAGGGGGTTGGGCTAGAAGACCTCCATGTTACGTTCCAACTCTATTAGCCTGTTACTTTACCTGCATGAGTTGGAATGTAAATCTGGCTCTGGAAAGCAACAAGGAATGAACAAACTTAAAAGAGGAAGAGGCCTAGACAACATTACTCAATCCTGAAAAGAAAAAAATAGTAAACCACCCTAATCTTCCTCAAACTACAAAAATAACCTCATGTTGTTTTGCTTGTTATACAATGTAGAGAGATCCCAATAGCCCCAAGATTCTATTATACCTTAACAACCATAAACAGCATTCTTAAAATACGCCTTCAGACATTATTTTTTGCTGATATCTACAAGAGCTGACATAGTGGTTTTATACATATTACCTAATTTCAAGACAAACTTGAAGGTGAAATACATTATTAACATAAATATGTTCTGACAACTCTGTTGTACATTTCATGTATTCCCCAAAGATTTTTGAATGTTTTTTCTAGACTATTGTTGGCACAATTTTCCATATGGTGTTTTCATCCTGAGAAGAGTTTTTGCCTTCCTCTGTCTTTTTAGTTTTCTCTTAATTACCGATAAGGCAATTCAACAGCAGGCATTTAATGTAAGTGGTACAACTTTTAAATGATGTGCTTAAACAGATTATATCATACTTACACACATTTTCTAAACAAAAAAGTTAGATTTCATGCATACAAATATATCAATAGAAGAGAATATTTATTGCTGGGGGTTGAACTGTGGGGTCGCTGGTGCTCTGTGAGCTTGTTTGTTTCCTTGCAGATGTTTCATTACTAAACTAGGTAACATCATAAATGCTAAAAGAGAATGAGTTTTCTATTATTTGTATTTATTTGAGGCAGGTGATGTTATCTAATTTTGTGATGAAACCAGGGGTGGGCTGCTATGGGTTTGCCTGGGTTCGGGAGAACCTGTAGCTAATGTTATGGCCAGTTCTGAGAACCTACAAATCCCACCACTGGCTGGCCCTGCCCATCCTGCCCCTCCCCTCCCAGGAGTCTCCATGCAGCTCATTTTGGATGCAAGGTAAATGCAGGGCCTATGCGGAGGGGGCAAAACAGGCCTCCCAGAAGTTCTGGAAAGCCGAAAACGGGCCCATTTTCTGCCTTTGGAGGGCCTCCGGAGCTTGGGGAAGGCAAAAACAGTCCCTCACCGTGGTGCAGGAGGCTGACTAGGACATGCCCACCATGGTCACGCCCACTCAGCAACCGGGCAGAGAACCCATTGCTGAAATTGTTGAAGTCCACTCCTGGATGAAACTTCTGCAAAAAAACCACCAAGCTCTCATAGCACCAAGGATCATACAATATGAGGAAGATAAATTGCAGACCCTGTCACCTGAAGAACAGGCATGGTGCAGGAAGAGAATATTCTCTGCCGTTGCCTCCACCCTATGGAATATTGTTCCCCCAGAAGTGGGAGAGGTAAAACATGGCTTTGCAGTCTTGCATGGGGAGTTCAAAGAAGCATGCAGTTGTATCATGAGAGCCCTCCTTTTACCTTTCTCAGCTAATTTTAACTGGGTTTAATTATTTTTGCCTTCTTAAAATTTTTGTAACTTTTTACATTTTAATTCTAAAATTTTAATTCTTAACATTTTAATTTTTATGTACTATTTTATATTTTGATGTTTTACTATATACCACCCAGAGTTCTTTAGAAATGTGATCAATCAATCAAACTTATCTTGTAAAATGGAGTAAATGAACCCAATTACAGTTGGCCAGACATCTCTTTAATTTCTTCAGGGAAAGAGATTAAAATTAACAAACATAAGAAATGAGCAAATAATTGTGAAAAAAAATCTCAACATTCCCTATTGTTTTTTTGTTTGTTGCATAGAGCAAAAGTAAATGTGTTTTATGTTCCCTGATGCTATTTTGAAATGTGCAATAAAGTGTTGCACAAATACATATACAAACACAACCTTTTTCCCTGAATATAGTAGGAGGTATAAGTTGATTTCAAAACAAGAGCATAGTAAAATAACAGATATGAAAGGAATCCAGGAAACATAATATTAATAATGCATATCTGGTAGAAAAATAGCTGTGACTATTTCCTAGGGACCAAAGGTCTCAAGGCATGTGTATAACTCCACAAATTCCCAAAGACATCTAATTTGCCCACAAGAAGTTTGCCTCCAAAATAGAAGTTAAGTGTTATACATTTTGCACACCTTGAATCAATGGCAGAACATTATTAAAGGGGGAAATTATTTTTTATTCTAGTACACAAGGTGGCAACCTAAGATTGTTTCAGTTTTAGGCTGGGGATCAGCTAAGTCCAATATTGTGTGGTTAAGAGAGAAGATTAGGGTCACCAGGCATTATGGCAATAAGTTAAAATGTCTGTGGAGAAAATTACTGGATTCCTGTTTTGTAATTCAAACAGACAAATAATTTTAATATTGTTCTATTTAGGTCAGGTTGCATCTAGATTTTGGTGTCCAATTGTGAGCTGTTCACGATGTTTTAGGGGGGATATTACTGTTCATGGATTGACTTTGAAATCTCCTTGGAAATTGCATTAGGTACAAAATGCAGCAGCCCATTTATTTGCTGATGAGAGTATTATTTGCATGTTACTTCAGTGCAGTAGGTTCTCCTTTGGTTTTGGATATAATTTAAAGTATTGACCTTGTCTTCACTTAATGGTGGCAATTAGGATTAGAATTTCCATCACTAAGTGACACAAACATAGTGTGATTCCACATCACCATGCCACCTTAGAAATTCCAGCACTTAAATGAATGGTTTCATCATTAAATGAAACCATACAGGCTGTTAAATGAGGTTTAGTGAGAGAGCCAAGGTGGCGCAGTGGTTAAATGCAGCACTGCAGGCTACTGCTAGATCAGCAGNTAATTTGAGCCGAGGTGATGCAGTGGTTAAATGCAGCACTGCAGGCTACTTCAGCTGACTGCAGTTCTGCAGTTCGGCTGTTCAAATCTCACCAGCTCAGGGTTGACTCAGCCTTCCATCCTTCCGAGGTGGGTAAAATGAGGACCCGGATTGTTCTTGGGGACAATATGCTGACTCTGTAAACCGCTTAGAGAGGGCTGAAAGCCCTATGAAGCGGTATATAAGTCTAACTGCTATTGCTATTTAACACAGAATGGAATAATTCCTCCTCAGTTACTCTGCTGCAAAATGCTGTCAAGTGCAAATTAGGTGGGTCTTGTGGCAATCAAATTTTATTTTAAGAGGCCATACCCAAGTATGTGATATAAAACAAGGAAAAAAACTATTTTTAACCTAAGAACCTCTCTTAGTATTTTCATTTCTTCTTCTTCAGTTTCAGTATATACATCAGATCCATCAGTCAAACAGTCAGGTAGCACACCTGTTTTATGAAAAAAAAAAGAATAAAGGGATCAAAAACCGATTAAAGTAATGACAAACTATTCAATTTAAGTATCAAAGTCCAGATTTCCTTCTAGAATAGAAAATAAATTATATTCAAAATATTGTTTTAATTTACATGTCATGATTGGAAGATAGCAAACTGAATTATTGTCAAAGCTTGTTTCTAAATAAAATGTATATTTCTCTTCACACGTGGCAACTTCAATGAGATTTATTGAAAGGACAATTAAATTGTACACATCTGACTTTAGTATAAAATAAAATACTGCACAAGGAAATATAAATATGGTTTGATTTTAGGAAGATTTCTACCAGATGTACTTGCCATTGCAACCGCCTTTATGAGGATATGAAAATATATTTGGCTGTTAAATATTGTTTTCTTAGAAACAGTTTTAAGCCACATATTTTGTATATTAATAGAATGGTAGTGTTTTTTATGTTTCTTTTAATAAAATCATTTTTTCCAATTGATACTAGATCAATTTCTTTACACATGGGAAAGCAAGTAAATATACTGTAGTAAAGTAAACCCTGAAATAATCACTGTCAAGAGAATTTAAAAACAATAATATATTTCAGACTATCTCTTCGCCTTCCTTTGATCATTGTTTTATTTTATAAAGCATATAGTTTTCAGGGAGATCTATACTTTACAGAGTAGTCCTGACAGCCTAATAACTAATTTGTTTGGTTTCATGCCTGTGTACTTATAACAGTGCGCCATAGGGGGAGGCGGGCAACTAGCTTGGCTGTGGTATGTAGCAATCTCTCTAGTAGCATTCGAGTTGATGATATCTTCCAGGTCTTCTGCCAATCTTGTCTCATGTCCAGGCAGGTCCAGCAACAAATCCTGTTCTCCTTGTCCAGTTAGCCTTTCCCACCGGAGTGGTACCCATTTATCTACTCACAATAAGGCTTTCAAACTGCTGAGTGGGCAAGGCAGTAGCTAGAGACAAGTGACGGTAGTTCATCCTGTCCCACAGTGCTACCAGAGCTCAAACCACTAGTGTCAACTATTTCTGGTCAGCAGATCTGGTTTCCTTAAGTTGCTATGCCACCAGACTTCCTTGATCAGTATTGATTTTCTTCATCTGACTTGGTTATATATGCCCAGGTTTAGGAAATCCACTTAAACCCATGTTCCAGCCAATCACAGTAAATGAAAATATTATTCTTTTTATTTTTTTTTACCATTTCTTTCTTGAATTATTCTAATGGCCTGCAACTGCATTTCAATATTTCTCTGGACCATCATTTCTTTAAACAATCTGAAATCTTCTGCTGCCAGTACTGGCTGTAAAATGGCCTGAAAAAAATGAAAAGTGTTTTATGTCAGAATGCCAACAAATTCAAATTTTAAACAATTCAAAATTTCCTTATGACAATAATTAAAATGTTAGGAAAAAGACATTTAGTAAGGCCTCAGGTATGGTAGACATAAAGTCAAAATCAATGTAGCTTTAAGACTGCTTTGGAGACTTCTGTTTTGTTTTTTGTTTTTTTTTATTTTAACAAGGATATATTGGAAGAAATGTCCCAAACTCAAGCATTCAGTAGCATTGAATGTTCTGAACATTCAATTGCTCAATGGCTATTCTAGAACCACTGAGCAATCTATGAGCAACTCATAGCTGATTGATTAGTTGATTGCAAGATACATTCATTGCCACTGAGGAAAATTTCAGTCTCTAATTCTTCCATAAGGGTCCCAATGGTGTCAAGCAATCAATGTCCATTTCTTTCTATGGCCCAATCTGATTCTTTTGTTTGTGTCTGGCCAGAATGTTAGCAATTTTGAGTAATAATGCATAAATTCCATTATTTTCTATGTGTAATTTTAAATCACGTTTGCCTAAATCTGTGGTTTATAACATTATCCATATCCATTAGCTTAATCCTAGTATTCTAAATGTATAATGTGCAGCCTTTTAAGTGAGGATTGAGCAACATATAATCCCTAAGAGCACTCTGTAGTTTCCAAAGTACCACACTAGACCATAGCTTAATTTCCTGCTATAAAAATAAAACAGTAGCAAAATAGGTACATTAAATCCCAAACTAACAAGGGGAAAGGGACAAAAAAGTTCAGCTAGATCAGTTCCAATGACTTGCAGATCTCATAAGTCAAAAATGGTTTTTAATAAGTACAATATTATCCACAAAAAGATTGCTCAATGCTATTTTTAATTTTGTTAAAAAGTTTACCTGGGAAGTTCGAGTCTTAGCAAGAGGAGACATACAAGCTTCCTGGAACTTGTCTTCATTAATTCCAACTTCTTTAAGATAACTGTCTAATAATTTTTCAACCTTTAAAAAAAACAGATATTTTTTATTCATCTTTTTACCAAAGAAATGGGACATAAATTACTTTAAATGAAGAAATACTGCAGTTGTGGTTTCTATTCAAAATAGAATGAAATTAGATTCATAAAAGTATAAATCTAGAAGTTAATATCTAAAATCACATAAATGGTTTAATAGTGGATAAATGACATGATCTCCCACAATAGGACTTCCTGTTTCGCCTGCATCTCCCAAATCTGCTCTGAAATACTCCTAAATCCCTCAGTATTTTTATGTATTATACATATTTTATTATATAGATTTTTTTTTCTTGCTGCATTCTGCAGACAGTCGCACTGTTTGAAATGACTGGCCTTATAAACGTAGTTAAAATATTTTTAAAAATAAAAAATAAGACAGTAGTTATAAGGAACAGAGAGATGTTGCTCCAATGTGGAATTATAGCAGGGCTCAGATGTCTCCTCTGTGTTATTTAATATCCAAATAAAACCACTAGGAGCAGTTTGAGGCATACTGAGGTATCAACAGTACACTGATAATAGTCAATTGTACATCATTACCTAGGCAGAGCTGAGATGGAAGTCCTGAACCAATGTTTGGAACTAATTTGAATGGAATGAGGAGAAACAATGTCAGATTAAATCATCATGAATGATTATATTAGCATTACTGAGAATATTAAAATTGTTTCTATAACAGACCATGTATATGGAATATTTTATTTCAAATATTTTTACTCCCTTTCAGCACCCCATTCACATTCTTAGTTTATATTTTAATTCTGCATTCAAGGTGATGAATCTTTTTTTCTAAAAGCTAGTAATTTTGATTTTGAACACATGAGCTCAATATTCAGTAATGTTTAGTAAAAGCAGCAGAATAGACTCTAATAAGTTACTGTGTTAAATTCAGCAAGGGAAAAGAGAAGGAAAAGGATGACAGGGAAGAATCTGCAATTATTTGGGTTATATTTGTTTGGGCTTAGTTAAAGAGTAGGAAATCTAAAAATGCTATACCAAAAGGTTTCATGAGAAAGATATTATTATTTATCTTCTTAAATGCCTGGGAAACAAAAGCAATTTGGAAAACATTGCAAACACAGAATATCTGTACAGTCTTCTGTTATCTGGAAAACAGATAGCTAGAATGAAGAAAGCTATGCCTAGAAAACTTAAAAGCTATATAGGTCATAAAATTGAAAGTACTTAGTTTTCAATATTCGTGTAATACAGTCCCTTTCCTTTTCAATAGACCTTCTACAAAAAGCCTCTCTGAGAATCTTTTAAAAGATTCTGATTCTATGAGTAAGATGGGTGACATATAAATAAAATAAATAAAATATATTCTTGTAGGGTTCTACAGCAATCCAGATTCAAAATGGAGAAGATGGATTCAGATCATGTGTGAGTTTGCACATCACACATATAACACCTCCTTAACCAATGCATATTTTCTTGGAATACACAAGTACTAATAAGTTATATAAATACATAAGAATCTCTTATGTATACATTTTATAACATATTCAAAGAGATACACAGCATATTTCTGCTTTAACATCGTATTATGTTTTAAAGACTAAGGAATTCTACTTACCAAAGCTTTATATTCCTGATGAATTTCAGTGTAAGATAACTTGCTTTCTTCCTCATCATCAAAAACTGAAAGAAGTAATATTTCATGGTTGTTTACAATATGCAAACTAAAAAAATAGTTTCATCTAGTAATATCTTAAAATTGCATTTTGCACACAACAGTTTATCTGAACTAAAATATAAAATATATAAAAATAAAAGCTCCAGCAGTTACAAAATATGTCATACGGGCAATTTATGGCACTCAAAGAGTATGCATATAACACTTCCACTAGCTAGCGCTCCCTCCCCCCCCCTCTCTCTCTCCCTCTCTCTCTCTCACACACACACACACAGAGTTTGTTTGTTATTTATTTTAGAAACCTGCAAGAAAGTAATCTCTGTAAGCTTGACTCAACGAACAAATACAGTAGCAGCTTCAGTGTTCTAGACCTAAGAGATTACTTGGGAATTTTTGTTTGTACTAATTGCTCCTGGAGTAATAAAAATAATCACCAAACACCACTAAGATTCTTACTTTTAATTCTACTAAGGTGCATAAATGCACTAAATAAAAATATTCTATATTTTTTGATCCCATTCTTTAAAATATTAAGCAGACATCAAAGGATATACTGTATTAAAGAAACATACATACACACACACCTATTGGCAAAAGTGTTTAAACTGCCAGTATACTTTAGTACTTTTACTATTTGCTATTTATTTAAATTTATATACCACCAAATAATTTAACTCCCAGCAGTTTACAATAAACTAAAATACAACAAAAAGACCTACTGTAAGAAAAATAAAAACAATTATAATTTAATAGAACCCTCATGATTAAAGGGTGGAAATTCTTAAAATTCCACATATTCCATTGCCAAAAGTAACTGCATCAGTTGGAGCTGCACTGATTGCTGATTTGCTTCCGGGTCCAATTCAAGGTTTGGGATCAAGTTATTTGAAGAATTATCTTTTCCTGGTTACAACCAAAGGATCAGGGAGGCAGGGTACATTGCTGGTCCCCTTTATTAAAGAGATCCATCTTGCGCAGTCAAACTGGCAGGCAGCCCATGGGCCAAATGCGCTACATGCAGGCCACCCCCACCTCCACAAAGGGGGGAAAAAAATCACAAAATGTCATGTGACAGCAACGTGACGCCACAAGTTTGACACCCATGATCTAGAGAGAACAAGGGCTCCCTCCCTGTGAAGCATCATCCTCATGGAGATAAGATTGGTTACTCTTTTGAAAGGCTGGGAAGACACGGTTTTGCCAGTAGGCCTAGGACCCCAGGATGATGTGGAGCCCACCAAGAGGTTTGTTGTTGGTGGGGGATGACTGGATTTTGATTTGGGGTTTTTCTTCTGTGAGCTGCGTAAAGTCACTATGCATGAGGAGCTGACCACATAATTTTTTTGTAAATGTGTCAATAACTACTTTTTTTTACTTCAGATCTCTCATCTTAAGTAAAATATAAAGAAGAATAGCATGCTACTCTTACCAAATAAAATGTATGACACTCTCTCCCATGCAGCACAAGCATCCTAAATCTCCAACTGGCTGAAAATCTAAAACATTGCTATGGTAGAATGTCCCAATCTTCCAAATCACTCATTTCGTCGGTTTCCATTAAATTCAACAATAACTCTTACAATTTTGGGGTGGGGTGGGTAATAATTCTACGCACCGTACATCATAAGGGAAAAATAAACAGCCCCTTGGTTAACGGACTCACCCAAATCAATGGGATGCTAACATATTGAGCTTCGGCTGAATCATGACCGGCAGCCACTCCCATTCCTTATGATCTACTGTAATGCGGTGATAATGATTGCGATAATAATCCACAACCCGTGAAACGCAACTATACAGCAGAATAAAGAAAATCACCACCCGAGGACAGCCCTTCGGACACGGCGACAAACCTATGGGCGGGATTTACACACACACACACACACCACAGCTTTCTCACCTTCACACTTGTGCTCCACAAACTCCAGAATGGGAATAGACCAAGCGGGGCTGCGGAGAAAGCCGGCGATGCTATCTACCACCCACTCCACTTCAGCCTCAACCTCCGCCTCTGCCTCGGTCGCCATCACATCTCCCCCACCCACCCACTTTCTCCCACGCCCTCAAACGCAGGAGCTCGCGCGCCTCTCCACCCCCCTGCACGGCCAAATGAGACGATATGCGCGTGCGCCGGAGGAAAGTGGGCGGGGAGGAAGATGACAGCAAAACTCCGGCGACGGTTAGGCTTCGATTTGCCGTCACTATGGCAATCGTCGTCACTAAAAGGTGGGGAGAGGAGGGTCTAAAATAAACTCACGCGAGAGAAGGCGCGAGATCGTACCCACCTCAATAAGCATGCGCCGCTCTTCCCCTTGCTGACCAATTATATATATTTTGTAAGAATCGATCTTCCGTAACTCAGCAGTTTGAACCCCGTAGAGGGAGGGGCTTAGCATGTTGCCTTTTCTCAAGATTGCCTAATTGCATCCCTGCAGTCTCTGTTGCCAGAAAGATATGCAGATGCTTATCTTTTGCGCTGCCTGCCTCAGAGATAAACCTGGAGAGGGACCGTTAAGAATTTAGTCTGAAGCAATTCAAAAGTTCAGATTGATGGATTCCCCTTTCCCTTCTCATCAGTGATCACCTGCCGCGGATAGGGAAAACAGTCATCAACCACTGTTTTTATAACGTGCAGATGTAGATTAACACATGAGAGAGTTCTCCTGGGACCTTTTTCCAAATTCATCCCATGTTTGTTTGCTGCTGCATATGTTACTTGTCAGCGAAGCTGTTTTTGGACACAGATTTAGCACTGTTCTGGAAGAACACTGAAGTCCTCCAAGATCCCTTTGAATTCTATGATTGGATCTCTCATTGATTCCATCCATTACTTCTTGTTCTGCCCTCAGGTGCTTTGGAGAATAGGTCAATCCCATCTTTGTGACAGCCCCTCAAATATTGAAAGACTGCTGTCACAGAGAGGAGTGGGTTGACCTATTCTCCAAAGCACCTTGAGGGCAGGACAAGAAGTAACAGATGGAAACTTGTCAAAGATAGATCCAACCTAAAAAAATTTAAAAATCCTGACAGATCAATCAGTAGAACAGTTTTTTCTCCAGAAGTTGTGGATGCTCCATCATGGGAGGTTTTTTAGAAAAAAATGGACACCTCTTTGTCCAGATTGGTATATGGTCTCCTGCTTGAGCAGGGGGTTGGGCTAGAAGACCTCCATGTTACGTTCCAACTCTATTAGCCTGTTACTTTACCTGCATGAGTTGGAATGTAAATCTGGCTCTGGAAAGCAACAAGGAATGAACAAACTTAAAAGAGGAAGAGGCCTAGACAACATTACTCAATCCTGAAAAGAAAAAAATAGTAAACCACCCTAATCTTCCTCAAACTACAAAAATAACCTCATGTTGTTTTGCTTGTTATACAATGTAGAGAGATCCCAATAGCCCCAAGATTCTATTATACCTTAACAACCATAAACAGCATTCTTAAAATACGCCT